ATATAGCATATGCATCTCTATTGGCCCAGTCTCCTTAATAGTTTTTTCTGTCGCAAGTAGGGCTTTGAGTGCATATTCACCTGGCAATCTGAGCTGTATTGGCCCCTCCCTTTGACCTCTTTACCGGCTTTACATACATAACATTTAATCCAACTGGAATATTCATTTTTGGTTCTAATTTCATAGTTATAACAAATTATTCCTTATGTAGACTCTGTACAATGAAAAAAATCGGAGTTGCCTAGAGAATTTCATATATTTTCCCTAGAATTATTATTTAGATGACTTTAACTGCTTCACCTGGGCACTTTTAATTGTGTAACATTGAAAGCCGCGGGCAATTTGTAGTCAGGGCCAAGAGCAGCTTTAAGATTGGCTTGGACTTGGCGAAAGAGTTGAGCTGTTGTGTTCTAGTGACATGGTGAATATTTCAAGAATTTCTTAATTGTTACAACAAGGCCACACACACACACAGGGTCAGTTATTATTGTTGTTGGAGCTTCTACTACTGTTGCCATTCTTGCGGGCCGTCATTTAATAATTCAACTTGGCTGCTGTTGTTCTTGTAAGAAAACGTTTGTCAGCGACGTGGTTATATGTGTATGTGTACGTGTGTATATGTGTGTGCTTTATTTTAAAAAACAATTTTGCAACAAACGACAATGCGAATGACGGCCAAGTTGGTCCAGTCCAGAGCCACGCTCCCTCCACCCATGGCTAGAACACGAGCTCAGCATGTGCCGCAAAGTGCCCAGAAAAAAGAAATCAGAAGGAAAGAAAAAGGAAACAGTAGATGAAGCATAAGCAACAGAACGCAACGCGAAAAATAACCCAAAAATATAATAAAAAGAAATTGGACAATAAAATACAACAATTTATGGCGTACAGCAATCCTTTTTGGTGGCACTTTACGGCGGACTTGTAACAGTCAAAGGGGCAAAGGACGCACTTGGTCACCAAAAGTCGCAAACGAAGAAAAGTTGAGAGAATCAAGAGAGAGAAAGAGAGAGATAGAGAGAGAGAAGGGGAAGCGCGGACAGTGGCCATGCCGGATAGGGCGGTCGCCCTATCCCTATCCCACTTGTGGCAAGTGGGCGTGACAGCCTAGCCAGCAAATCGTCATTGGAAACTAAACGAAAATGTTTAGTTGTATTTGTGTTTTTATTTATTTTATTTTACTTTTTCTCTTCTCTTTTTTATTATTTTTTATTATTTGTGAGTGTGTGTTGTAGTTTTTTTTTTATATTTATTTATTATAGCCGAGGTTTGGCTGCCCTTGGTACGCTCTATTTATTTATGTGTTTGTCAGCGTTGGAAAGCGATTTCTCTAACGATATTAAATTAAAACTAAACAGCGCACGAGCATTTCTTTTTATTAAATATTAAAATGATAAATGTGCCGCATTGAATTATAGATACTTGAACATATTGCGCTTTGCACACTAGATACCATTGTGTAATAAATTAAAATATATTGAAGTTAAATATTGAAGTTAATCACATAAAAAATAGATTGAATATATAGTAGATAGAATATTCAAAATAATTGGCAAATAAAACTAATAAAAGAATTAAAAATAAATAAATAAAAAATCAATTCCAAATATAAGTGGCCTGAACTGAAATTATAATTTGTGAATTATTCGCATAAAAAATGCGTAATTAAAAATGTAATGATGAATTTGAATAAGACTAAAAAAATTAAATTACAACTAGTTTAAATTCAAGAATATGTATATTTATTACATATTTAATAAATGATGAAAAAAAAATTGTTAAATGACTTTTTAGTAAAAAATTGTATTTCTAATTTGATTCGGATATTAAATTCTGTACATGAAGCCAAAAGCAATTAAATGAGAGAGAAAAAACAGTTCAAGCAGCGAGTCCTATCAATCCGTTTGGCTCCCTTGATGGTTAGTAGCTCATTAAAATATATTGATAAGTTTATGTTGCATCCATATAGATCTCTATTTACTTTAAAGTTTCTGCTTGAGAAACTTTTGGCTCGTTTAGTTCCTCTTGGAGCTGAAGGCTGTATAATGTTCCTTATTTCTGGTTAGTTTTACGCCGCTTGTTACGCGACGCATTTGGCGTTAGTTCTGCTTCGATTTTGTTGTGCTTTTTATTGCTTTCTGGGCTAACTGATGGCCCTAGCCGAGTGCTGGCAACAACTTTTGTTAAACATTTGTTGCCAAAGCCCAAAGCCAGTTTAATTTCGACTGCCAGCAAAATGATTTAGGAAAGTCGCACGTTCCAGAGAGCCAACTGCTGCTCCTGCTGCTGTTGCCAAGGACATGGCCGTTGTTGAAACTTTATTCCATTTAATTGAAATTTTATGTAAAACATGCATTGGATTTGATGCATAGCGTTTTTTATATCTTTTATTTTGTATATAGCTCGCGGCAGCACACAAAAATGTGAAATGCAAAATATATTTGTAAATTTTTATGAGCATTTGAATTATATGGGGCATGCGAGATCTGATGGAACCGGGGGTTAACTGAACGCAGCACAGCTTGACCTTTGCCAAAATGAGATAAATTTCATGATTTTTCAATGTTTGAACTTTTGGCCACACAGTGCACACACATAAATTACCCGGCGAGGGGACCACGGGCGATAGCAGACGCTTTTTTATTGCAACTGAACTCGACCGGACTTTTATCTTTGGCTGTGCTGGGTGAATAAAATGAAATGAAATGAAATAAAATGCTTGCTTTTTACCAAAATGCACGCAGATAAGCACAGCGCTGCTGCTGGATCGATATATGTATGTAGATACCCATGAAGGGTGGCACTCGACCGGGTATGCCCATTGAGCCGCACTGAAAAGCAACTGAGAAGCCAAATTGATGGAGCAAACTTACTGTGAGGGGTATCCGTTGGCACAGCAGGGCTGGGAAGTGACAATCTGGTATCTTTGCTTTGTTTTTAACAAATTGACAGACGAACTCTGTGCACATATCTCAGCTAACAGGATGGGACAATCCAGCTAACAGACGGAAAGTAAAAGCGTCAGCTGCAGGATGTGGATGTGGATGTGGATGTGTGGCTGAAGTGTTTGTTGAGTGTGTGTTTCGAGTGCAATCAGCACAATAACAACAATACCAACAGCGACAACAACATCAACAGCAACGGCGCCAACAACAATAACAACAAGGATTTGAAGTTCCAGGAAGTGTTTCAGCATTGATGGCTGTTGAGAAGTCTTCCTCCGGCACGCAGACAACGGCAAGAGCACTTCGAAAAACGAAAGCCATGTAAGCAGAATTATTCGTGGCAGTCAGAGTATGCAAATAAACTGGCGTTCATCAGGAGATGCCTGAGAGAGCGATTTTTGCACTGCCAAAAATTAGTCAAACTATTTTGAAAATAGAACGCACTCAATTAATTAAATTGTATTGGCTGCGATGTGACTATAAATTAAATTTCCATTAGCATCTCGTATTTGTACTAACAAGAAATGACAACTCTGCATTCGGAAAAGCTCTTTTCCAATTTAAAGTGAGCTTTTAACATAGAGAGAAGTATTCATATGAATTTAATTTTGGATTCTAAGGATAGTTGAAGGCTGCAAAAGATAATAAATATAGTGAACCCAACTCAACTCGCTGCTGACACATCTCAGAGCTGTCCAGACTAAAATTTGCCTTTTTTTATATATATATTTACATCTATACAATCATCAGATATTCAAGATTTTCAATTAATTTAAGTTTATTTTGTATACTCTTTTTATTTTTCTGGCCATTTATGACATTTATCCATAATACACTTACGAATTTGTAATTTGGTTATTATCCACAACGTATTATGATAATTATTATTTCATGTCTTACAGATAATCATACAAATATTTACAAGAGTAGTAAGCTGTTTACTCTGGCTTTAGTTGAGCTTAGCCGTTATGTATATATATATATATATATATATAATTTATTTCCAATGGAATTTACTATAGGAGTACATTTAGGTATATTAATATTATCATTTATCTGTAGTTGTATAATTAAATCAATAAATTTAATTGCCCTGCGGCAAATTTTACTAACTGGCTTCAGCCTCTGCTGCTGGTCAGTAGAAATTGTTTAAACAATGTTTATAAGTAGTTTTTCTCTTTTCAGTAGTATGTGTATGAGTGTGTGTGTTTTATTCTTTAAACCTTTTTTAGCTATTAAATAATCATAGTTATTACAATATTCATATAATTAAATTTTTGATCACATGTGTTTTTCTTCTTTTTTGTTTTTATTTTTATTTTATTTTTGTATTTTACCTTCGCTTTGTTTCACCCCGTTTAAACTTTAAATATGTTTTGGTATTTTCGTTCAACAAAAGAAATGCCGTTGCTCTCTTTATTTAACTGTTTACCGACCGGTGTGCCAGGTAGGACCTCAGCCCACCCAGAGCAAACAATCGCAGCTTTGTTCGCATTTTAGCTGAAAACTGTTTGTGAATTTATTTATGCTGAACTCAATGATTAACAAAATATGTAATTAAGTCATTATATATAAATATATGTATATACATATATATATTTATTTTTGAAATATGCTATGTTCATTTCATGGTTGTGGCATAACATTTATAGTATGTCAATTTTATATAGTATGTTTTTTTCAATTATTTTTTTAATCAGCTTTTATTCAATTTTAGTTTTAAGTATTTGCTTTACAATCTCTTTGTTTTGTAAACTTTTCAATGAATTTGTGGATTTATGTTTTGTTTCCTCTTTTTCTTTTTTATTTTGGCGGGTTGACATTTATTTGGATCTATTAAGTATACAATACGTAGCTCATTCAATTGAAATTGCAATTTGAAAATTATAATTGAAAACTTTACAATCTGACAAAATTATGTGAAATGTGCGTGTGAGCATTATTTGTTTCTTTTTTCCATCGGGCTAATTAATTGTTTCATTTTATTCAACTAATTATATGACATAATTAATAACATTTCGGTTAGGATAATTACAATAAAAAAAAAAAAAAAAAACTAAAGTAATCAACTAATGATTCGAATTAATTTGAATTGTTAATGAATTCACTAGAACTAAGGGAAACTCCAATGACAGTGAATATTCTATGATAGAGAATGGCTTAACGTTCTCCGAAATTTGCTAGCCATATATTTGAATATTTATTCCATATCATTAGAATAATAACTTTTTCATAGAAAAAATACATAATGCATATTTTTAATACTCTCTGCATGAAGTAGGACATTCATAGGAGATTTTTGTTGTTTTGAAATTGGTTTTTGTTTTCGTTTATCAAATCGAGGCTTAGAATGTTTTCACTTTAGTTTAGACAGCTTTCGTCTGTTTTGCTTTGTTTCTGTCTTGTTTTGGTTTTGTTGTGTTGTTTTTGTGCGTTTCTTTTACGCTCATTCCATCGCCTTTGTCTGAACCTTAGATACTTTTTGCTGCTTTTTTTTTGCGGATCCTTGCCTCACTAAGTGCTAAAGATGAAAATAAACATGACAATGATATTTACACAATGTTGGCTGAGCTATGGTAACCTCAGTGTTGTAGTGGTTGCCAGAAGGAGGGCATGTGGTGGGTGGTTATGCGTATGTGTGTTTACATCTGTGTGTGTGTGTGTGTGAAGTATAGCCGCCCCTATGCCACTTTGTATTTGTTTATGTGCTCGGCCAGCTGCGCACAATGTTGCCTGGCAGCAGCTGCCACGTGGAGTCTGAGAGATTGAAAGTACATGTGTGTGGGTGGAACTAAACGTGCATCTATGTGTGTGTGACACACATACTTGAACCGAGATATACTATAAAAACAAATGCTCGCATGTTACGACGAAAAAACTTTGTCAATTAACCTAAAACAAGTCTCACTTTACAACACGTACGCTTGACATAATTTCATCTCTCTCCCTCTCTCTCTCTCTCTCTCTCTCTGCTCGTTGGCCTTTGGCATTGATGTGTGTATGCGTACGAGTATATGTATTAGTATGTGTGTTTGTGTGCATTCTGAAACTTTACATATGAAGAAATTATCACGTTCTTGGTCCTTGATAGCGACAGTAGGATCTGCCCATAATGTCCTCAGCTGGAATTGACTGATCAATCGGCTGCACCCGCAATAAATCCATTTGATCACGTACCTGCAATGAAAGCCAAATAAAACACAAATCTTAAGTCTTTCTTCGGCTGAAATTCGTGTGCTGTGTGCCATGCGGCGTATGCGCAATATGAATTAAGTTCTAATGAAAATTGATGGCATTTGCCAACAAGTTTTGTGTAAGCAATTGCCACATCTTCCAAGTTTTCAGCTATGCAAAGCAAATTGGCAAAGTTTTTGTTTACTGTTCCACAGAACTCAAATTATTTTGCATGTGGATATGAATTTTGCAATATTCATTTCTAAAATGTGCGGAGTCCCTCGTGGATAAATTACGATAAGCTGACGGGCATAAATTTGTGAATAGTAGAAATGGATTGTGCAGCTTAGCAATATTTAATATTATAGCTGGAGTTTTAAAAATATTTTTACAAAATTATAGAAATACAAAAATAGTGCTTATTAGTTTCATTATTTTTTTCTTTTACCGACTTATAAGACAATCAAATATATTTAAGTAAAGAGCAAAAAATTGCTTTAAGTTCTGCCTTATACAAAAGTTAAAAAATTTGCATGTTAAAAATTTTTTTCCTTGCTCATATTAATAATTATTTATGGTAAAAGCTAACGTTCTTCTAAATTTATTTTTGTTTTGTTTAAAATTACGAAAATTATTATTCCATTGGCGGGCCGTACATAAGCAGATTTAATAGCTCTTTAATGCTATTTATAACTGTTTAAATTTGTGGGCCAAACTTTTTCGACCTAAAAATGTTGCTCAAACAATTTGGCAGGCGTTAATAAACTTTACTTCAAACTGTAGCTGCAAGTTTTTTTCGCTGATGTCGGCATAAAATTCTTGAGCAATTTAAAAAAAAAAAAAAAAAGCTAGTGAAATACTCAAATTAAATTTATTTGGTAACTTTTTATGGCTCAATTGCACACACACTCTGCCTCAGTTCTGTTTATATGAAGGAAAATCTCTACACTTTACGGATTTCAGTTACTTATAAAGCAATCATATGGCCATTAAATTATTCATATGTAAATTCCGTAATACAAAGCTATGCGCTGGCCGTATTGGCAATGCATTACAGCGACTCCTTTGAGGACTCCTAAGCATACGGTGAAGCCTGTTCGAGCCTTTCGCCCATTGTTTTGGCCAACTTAGTGCGTGTGCTTGTGCAGAAAAGTTTGAAGCACATTTTATGCCGTGCAAAAAAGGCGAGAGGAAAAGCGAAACGTTAGGCACAATAAAACAAAATATATATGCAAAGGCACAAAAACACAAAAAGAAAGGAAGAAAACAAAAATTCAAACACAACAACAGCAACAACAACAACAACAACAACAACGAAAATGTTTTGTTTTCAACACCAAACACCTTTTGAGGCCTCGCAGCTGGGACGCAGTTAGAGAAGGCTAGCAGCCGGAGGGGAATAGCAGAGGGCGGAGGATACCGAGGCACAGCCAGCTCGCTCGGCCCATTTCCGGTGCTTTGTAAGCCGTATAACAATCGAATTTACGACTTTTTTATGAGGCTTTATGTGGGCCCTGGCTGCCACATACAAACAACAATAAAACGTCAGCTTTCGGCTCAGACTGTGCGACGCAGTCATTGCACTTTGAGGCACGCCCACACAGAGCGGACCAACCGCCCGACCGCCCGACTGCCGCGCAACATGCCACAAGTCCCATTGTGGGTTTTGCCTTTGGCAACGCTTTTCCGGCCGCTTTGAGCTGCAGCAATGAAAAGCACAGTTCACAGTTACATTTGAGTGAAAAGTTCAAAGCTGAAATGGCTGTTAAAGAGCCGCTGCGCCATTTTCATGCTAACCAAATCAATTGTGAGAAGGTCAGTTGGCATACACAAGCACCAACACACACACACACATACAGGCATGCATGCACAGTGAGTGTAAACAAACAAACACACACACACATTCACACACTCACACACAGGCCAGCTAAAGGATATTTAAATGAATTTGTCTCGCACAAATTGCTGCCATTTGCCGAGAGCTTCTGCCCAATGCCGCCAGCTGGGCTATGTGTCGTGCCAAATGCCTTTCCATGCTCGCATTAGATACTCGCATAAAAGGCTAAAATAAAAGATACATTTACACACACACAAACACCAGCACGAGGCCCTGAGCTGCCTGAACTGACTCAACTGTGTTGGCTGCCTCGGCTGCCTCTGCTTTTGTCTAGATAAAAACTGGCGTCAAGAAAATTATCATGTTCATGGCTATGGCTGCCCCACACTTCACCCAGCCACCCGCCCCGCAACACCGCAGCAGCCCAGCCCAGCCCAGCCCTGCCCAAGTCTCATACCCTTCAGTCATTTGTGGTTGTTGTTGGGTCGCATTGAAGAGGCGCCACAGCATGAACCGAACTCCGAGGCATTCCCATGAGCTGCCTCAAATCTCTATTGCCCTAATTTCGCTTATTTTTATCACTGCCACGACACACTTATGGGCTAATGGCTAGCTAGTGGGCGTTCTATAAAATTCCAAATATTTCAAACTCTACTTATATTATAGTAGTATCCAAGATATATATATATGTATTTATAAATGTAATAAACGGAAAGCTCATTGACCAGACAAAATTTTAAAATAAATTAATAAAAAAACAAATAAAAAATAAATAAAAAATTTATAAAATTAAAAAAATCATAATAATATATGTATTTATAAAACTAATATTTATTAAAACAATAACATTGCTATGTCTATGCAAATTTACATAATATATTCAATAAATTTCCATAACATAATATCATAATTATGGTAGAGATGCAAGTGAAGTGAAGCATTAATTATATATGTATACAAGGATTTAAATTACAGGGAGCTTAAATGGCAAACAAGAACAGTTTCAAGTCTTCATTCTCGTGAGTGTCCAGCATTAAAAGGGTATCAAATGGGCATATGTATGCGTGTGAGTGTGTGCATAAGAGATGACAATCATTAAAATGGCCTTTTGCCTAATTTCTATGACTTGCTTAATTATCACAACGATGCCAACGCCCACTCCAGACGCCCACACAAATACAAATACAAACATAGACAGACACATACACAGAGAGAGAGAGAGAGAGAGAGTGAGAAACACGAGTCGTTTCCCTGTTGACCTACTGCGGCCCAGTGATTCGGGTCTATGGGGTCGCTCTCTGGGGAAAGAGCATTAAGCGTCTAATAATTGAACATTTGAACTGCTTTTTGTGTTCATTTAATTGCATTACAGGCGACGCTGGCTGCGATAATATATATTTTATTGTGAATTCGGGTCACCAAGCTCGATAAACGGGCCCTGGCATGAGAGTGCCGCTCGGATTTTGTATCAAGCCTTTGGCCCGAAGGCTCTTAGATCAAAGCAATACCGAATGTATATATACATATATAAATATATACTCAAATAAAAAATGTGCGCTTGGGCAACGTTTTTAATTACTTTGTGGCTGAGTTACTCATTACAAAAAAATAGCAAAAAAATAAAAAAAAAGAAAAGCCTGCACAAAGTATTACAATGCGAGCACAAATTTTAATGAGCATTATTCCACATAATAAACAGCAGTAAAGCCCGTAATATATATTTATATTTACTATATGGTTGCCTTTCATACAAATGCATATACTTTTACACATACATATATAAATATATATTTTATTCTTTTTTTCCATTGCTCCTGAGTGCTAAATGCAATAAAAGCGCAGCGATTTTAATCACCCGCTTTGCAAAAGCCGGCAACACTTTTTAATGCCTGTCCCTGCCCCTACCCCTACCTCTGCTCCTGCTCCTGCTCATGTCCCTCCCCTAGTACATTGCTAAGTAAGTATGTATATAAAAATGCGCATTGTAATCACATAGAGGAGCCATTGTTGGGAAATACTAGTTTACTTTTTGCTTAATGCCCATAGAGAAGAAGCGTCGAGTACCAAAACTAATTACAATGTTGCAGGCAGATAAGATGGCTCAGAGCGGGCCAAGAATAGAATGGAGGGAGACAGAGACAGATGCATAGACAGAGACAGCTACAGACAATGAGATAGAGACAGAGACAGACAGAGACAGAGACAGCGAGTCAGAGCGAATATGATTAAAGTTCGCAGACGCCGAGACAAGCGCAAAATTAAAAATGCTGCGGCATCTCTTTTTTGTGGGGCAGCAGTTGCTGGTGGTGGGGGAGGGGGCATTTTTAATGAGCAATAGCAATAAAATACGATCCACAGCAGCCGAGTTCAAGGGGGCGTATGATTTATATTTGTTATTAAATCTTCAAATTACCCTTGCCGTTCGGGCATTTTGAATTAGTTGCACAACAGAAGCGAAACAAATAACAAAGTGCTTATTATTAGGCAGAGAGAAAGGAAACCTGGTTGCATCAAAGCGAATTTAATCAAATCTAAAAATCAATTAAATCAAAAAAATGGCTTCAGCTTTGTCTACACGCAGAAGAAGATGAAGATTCCTATTAACTAAAGTTTCTGTATTGAGGCGAAATCGTTGGCCGTGATGGCATGCGTAACAAAGAACACTGTGTTTGCTTCGTTCAAAAAAATATATAGACTCCTTTGTATAGCCGAGAAGGTCCTTGACTTGCCACAGTTACCAGCTGGAGCAGTTAGAGCCTAAATGTTGGCTCAGGCAGTCATTCGACTGTGCAGCAAACGCTTTGGGCGTCCTCAACTGAATGGCGCTAAGCATTGAGTGGCATTCGCAGTCAATGGAGTGGTCCGCTCAAAGGACTCAAACACACACACACGCACACAGGCACACACACAGGCAGAGAGTGCAACAGTCGAGCATTGCTATTGATTTAAATTGAATGCTGCTTGAGGAGCAGCAGCAGCAGCAGCATCCATAGTAGTGACAGCATCAGTGGCAGTAGCAGCCACAGTTGAGCTGGCAAAGGCACAAACAGAAGCTGCAAGCATGCCGATCCTGGCCAGCCAAGCACACAGCAAACAAGCTGACCACATCCGCAAACAAACTGCAACAGCTTCTGCTTCTGCTCGGACTGTTGCTGCTGCTGCTGCTCCTGCTGCTGCTGCTGGTCGTGCTCATGTATAAATATCGGAATAACCATTTGAAAATCCTTTTAAAATTATTTCACTTGCGTCTTTTCGACGCCAGAGACGCTCCAGAGTCTCGAGTCTTGCTCCATTTCGTTTTGTGCTCGCTCGTTGGCTCGCCTGCTATCCGCACCAAGTATGTGCAAATTCCACTGCAAAGCCACATTATTCTCTTTATCCTTTGAAAGGAATTTTCGAAGTGCAATAACAAGCGGGCTAGAGACGGTCGACGCCCGACGGCCGACGGCAGTGGCTCCTGCTTCTTGGTGGCTTATTTTGGCCTGGCCGAGCACTGGCTCAATGCTGGACATGTTTTTTGTTGACCGAGAAATGTGCTTTTGTCCCGAGCACTGCCTAAGCCGTAATCCTCTAGGTACAACACGCAACTGGGCAAAGTCATGAGCGAAATGCTCCCAATGCGCACACAAAATGAACAATGGAATGGCTTAAAACTGCAACATGACTACCATATAGAGTACTCACCGCTTCGACCTCGTTGAAGACGCGTAGAAAGTTTCTGCCAGCTAACTTGGCTATATCCGCCTCAGTCCACTTGTCCGATTCGAGCAGCGTGGCAAAGAGATGCGGATATTTGGAGACATCCTCCAAGCCTTTGGGCACTCTGTTAAAATAGCAAACAAAAATAACCAAAAATACCATTTAAATACCAATAAAATACTAAGTAGTAAGAATATACTAAAAGACAATTTGAAAACTTTGTAAACTTACAGATTGACGCCATCGTAGCCAGCTCCAATGCCCACATGATCGATGCCTGCAACTTCTCTTATATGGTTAATGTGATCTGGAAAATGTAAATGGAAAAATGCAGTTAGTTAATTAGCGTCAATTGCTAATCGAGACCGCATTAACCCACCCACGACATCGTGCAGAGTCGCCTGACCCGAGCAGCTGACAAAGTGCGGATAAAATGCGACCATGACCAGACCTCCATTAGTGGCCTGCAAAGCGAAAACAAAGGGTGATTAGATAAAAGCCCAACCCTGCTAGCATGCAGTGCTTCATTGCGTACAATTCGCTGCAGGACGTGATCCGGTACGTTGCGCGAGCTGTTGCAGATGGCATGCGCCGAGGAGTGCGAGAATATGAGCGGCGCCTGGGATGTGGCCAGAGCGTCCAGCATTGTCGGCACCGACACATGCGACAGATCAACAATCATGCCCAGGCGGTTCATTTCCTTCACCACAAGCTATTGAATGGACAAGAAGTTCAAATTATCAGCGTGTGTAGGGCAATATTTTAGTATATTTAATATATTTATATATATGTATATATTAGTGCAATAAATTCGAGCTAAATATATCAAGTATCTGTGTGAGTGTTAGTTAAGAATGTTTAGTATTTCTATGAGTCAAGCGAGTCTATGAAGTCCCTTAATAATCCCTTAATAGCCTTTTCTTTAAGTCTTTATAGCACTCTCATCACATTCATCTCATATAAATGAAATCTGAGACATATATGGTTATAACCGGAAGACGATATAATAATATATCTTTTCTCATATAAGTTTGCCTAGGCATCAGAATTTTCGTCGCAATAACTAATAATACGGACGCTATAAGCGGAGTCGCCATAGCCGTATTCTACTGTATATCTAGTTTTATATATATGTATAATATAAACTTTCTCCTCATCTATTAAAACTCACCTTGCCAAATGATGAGAGTCCGCCGATGTGCGGATACTTGCCCGGTTCGTCAACTTTGCAGCAGTCCGCCCTGCGGAGGTTGTTCAGAGTCAAAGCGCTGCGCAGTGGAATGGAGTCAATAATTTCACTTACCAAGGTGTATTGCAGGTGTGTGTGAGCGTCAGGTAGCGGGCGCCCAGCTGATAGAACATGCGCAGCACACTCAGACTGGTGCCGATCGCATGGCCACCCTCGACGCCAATCAGGCTGGCGATTTTGCCCGTGCGATGGGTCTGCTCGATGCCCGCGGCGCTGGTGACCAGGGCCATGTGATGCGGATAGAGATGCACCAGGCGACGTATCAAGTCGATCTGCTCCAGCGTCAGCTGCACCGCATCCAGATGCTGTGAGGAGCAGGGCGCGTAGGCGGACCAGAACTGGGCCGAGACCATGCCCTCCTTGAGGCGGCGCAGATCCGTGTGGCTCCAGGCACTCGACGACCAGGGCGCCATTTCGCGCAGGTCGCTGCCGAAGTGAAAGTCCTTCAGCTGGTTCTTGAGGAACTTGCGTATATTCCAGGGCAAATCGTTGTGGCCATCGATTAGCGGCACTTCCTTCAGCACGTTCCTCACCCGCTGCAGCCGATAATCGAAATCTCCGCCATTGGCGCTGCCGCTGCCGCTGCCGCTGCCGCTGCTGCTGCTGCTGCTGCCGGCGTTGCCGGTGCCGACGGCCGTGCATCTTAGGATGGGCAACACCAGCGGTATACAGAGTAAGGTCAAGCAGTTGAGGCCACAAACCTTGGGCAGCTTCCGCGATTTCATTGCCCCCAGGAGCAGCTAGCAGCACAGCACGAGCCACGCGGCACTCACATTGATGATGTTTGTCGTTCGGGCTGTGTGCGGCGAAACAAAAGAAAATCAAATAGCTGTGGAAATTGAAATGGAATGCCAGCGGGGCCAACTGGAACGACTAGGCGGGCGGGTGGGCATTGGGTATTGGGTATTGCATGTGATTTCTATTTGTTTAGGTGGGCCGATGGCGTGATTGAGCTATTGAAACTTGTTGGCAAACAAATGCCATAAATATAGCGCCCGTGGACTCTTTCGGTGCTCGGCGCTCTAGCCACGGCTTAGTCCGGGTGGCAAACATAAATAAAACTTTTCATATTTATTTCCAAGCTAACTTCGATATCGAACCCAAGCACTGAATGCATAAAAATGCACAATAAAAATGCAAAGATTATTTATAGCAAACTTTTTGCATGCGGATCAACCAACAGACAAAAAAAAAAAATAAATAAAAATAAAAAGAAGCCCAACACCGAATTTAAATAGTTGCCACAGTGGGGCAAAAGTTCGCAGAGCGACACCAAAACGTGAATACCAGAGCGAGACGGCGAAAGTACTTACCAAACACTTTTTTACTTCTTTTGCCCCACTAAAGTTTTTTGCGAAACTGCAGGTGGGCAGACTGCACAAGAAGAAGAAGAAGAAGCAGAAGCAGAAAAAAAATAAAACTCCAAGTGCTGAAAGGAAATTGAAGCCAGCTTTTGGGCTGTAATGGCATGTGAGTAAGCCACAGTTGCTGACAGCTGCCGAGGGTATTGACCGGCTTTCACTACCCCAAAAAAATACTCATTGAAATATATATATATATATCTACAATATATATGTATATGCATTCTTCGTTCGTTTTCTCAAATTTTCTTTGCAAAAGTCAAATTAAAGTTTTTTGGCCAACTGCAAAACTCAAAGCGAACTCAACTACGCTAAAGTTATCTAATAGTTTTTAATGCATAAGTCAGCTCCATATAAAACTGAAAGCCAAGAAAATAAAATTCTAACTTAAGTGATGCATAGATAAAGATGTTTATGTGCACGCAGGTTGCTGCGCTGAGAGTTTCGAGTGTGACTCGTTAAATGGCATAGCCAAGCTAAGTTGTTTAAAATTTAAAGAAGCAATAAGATAGAGAGGGGGTGGAAGAGAGAGAGAGGGAGAGAGAGAGCAGCTATATGTGAATAGTTGCTATTGTTAAATATTACTCTCAACTATAAAATGTATAAACTACTCAATTATATATATTTTATATTTCTTATTTACAGATATTATAAATATTATATAGCTGTATAACTAATTTAGTTGGCAATCTTGATTTTTAATGCTTAGTTAATAAATCTCTCAATTTTACCAAGTGGACCTTAAAAGCTTCATAAACATATTAATGAATTTTACAGGTCACCTATTTTGAGAGGGGCAATCCAAAACATGATTAACATGATTCTCTTATCTTTTTTATCACTATGAACGAGTGTAGTTCGGCAGGCAGCGTCGAACTGAATAATTTGAGCATGATAATAGTATCATGAAAATCTCCAAGTGAACTAACTGCTAGAGACGATTAAGTAATTTGCGTTTCCCATCGTGGAAAGCTAAGGCTATAGAAAAATCAAATCTAAGAAATAACAGAATAAATTGTAGTTTGTTTGTTGGATCACAATCAGCTACTGCAAATGTTAGTTTTCATATATGTACATACATACATATACATATGCTCACATTTAATTTTCTGAATTAATTCAGGTCAATTTAAATTTTGCATCTCCATCAAAATATTTCTAATTGACAAAAAAAAAAAAAAAAACAACTTTAATTCTAAATAATATCAAAGCAATTTTCATTATTTTATTCTGGAATTTCGACAAAGCTTTGGCTTTGGCAAATGCAATTTTCCGTTTATCGCATTTCTTCGATTGTGATGATAATTCCTTGCTGTAAGCTGATTGTCCCAGTGATTTGCCGTTGCTCATCTCGGCTCTTGCGACTTTTGATAACATGCCATTCGTATGTGGAATTTTGAAATAGTTTGCTTTGCTTTATTTCCTCGGCTTTATTATTTCGTTTCTTATTTTGTGCAATTGACGAGTTTTTCATTTGCACAAACTTTGCATGGCATCTGCTGATGTGCATTTTGTAGAGCATACACAATATATATACAGAGAGCAAAACATGTGTGCAGGAAAGTGGAAGAGGGCGTGGCAGACCCGGGAGGCGGGAGGCATGAATTCGTATGTTGATTTTCATGGTCTGTTGCTTGAGCACAAAAATGAAAACATTCCACTCTACGAACTTTTGTGAGCATATCTTATCTGCTCGCTCAGTCTCCAGTTCTCTTGCTCTCTCAGACATTTCCCGTTGGCATTTTGGGGCAAACATCTTAAACATTTGGCTTTAGCCAAAAATTATGCAAAAAGAAAAAATGACAATGTCGATAAGGGCGCCAACAAGGACGACGGCAAAGGCAACGCTCTGCGAATTTCTTGTCCTGCGAAACGTGACACAAGCGCAACGCACGAATTATTAATACAACAACAGGAGCATGGGGGCGAAAATTCGCAAAGGGCCCAAATGAGCGCCTATTGGGTTAACAATAACAACAACAACAACAACAATAGCAACAATCGAGCTGCAGACAAACAAGCAGCGAATTCAGAAATCAAAAATTTCAGACGCTTCGTTAAACATTTATGTCGTCACGAGCTGAAATTGAAAGGAACTCGGCATTTGATCTTTAATTAAATTGTCATACGATTAATTTCTTTTGTTAGGCAATGCAAAAACGGATTCCCAGTGGCATGCATTAAGGCTTCACGGAGCACTCGAGCAACAGACGAAGTGGGAAATCAAGTTGAATTAATATGACTTTAATTAAACCCATTTATGGCACTTGCCAAGAATCCTATGAGATAATTTATGCACAAAATATTTGAAAGTCATTTTGCCGTAGCTAATGAAAGCTTTTAATCGGATTGCCTTCGAATAAAGTAAAGTCCAATCACATCAGTGTCGGAATGCACGCATTTGACAGTCGCAATTCAACATGTAAAGTCGGTTTAATCTGGCGGAAAACAAGTGCCAAAGTTTTAATATCCTTGCTGAAGAGGTTATTATACCTTATGGAAGAGCTTAAGCCTAACGTAAAATATTCTTTGTATGATGATGCCTGCTAGCAGTTGCGTGAATTGAAGAGATTTCTATATTTTCTATGAAATTTCATCTTTTCATATATATAATATTATATATATTTTTTTTTTTCTATTTAAAATAAAAAAGTAAAGTTAAGAAAGTTACGGATACGACTTCCTATAAATAAACAACCTAAAGTTGTTTGCTTTGGTATAAAATTATTTTTTAAAGTTGAATATTATGTTTATATACTTTAAAATATTCAAATTTACCTTTACGTGTAAGCTACTAAGATTATGAAATAAATTGATTTACACTTAGGGAAAGTAAGCCCATCGGAAAAATATTTGTACATAGCTTTGCCTTGCTCTCTATATATAAATTCAATGCAGCTGGCAAGATGCCCTTATTATGATTAAATATATACATATATACATACATATAGTTAAAAGCAAAGCTATCTCCATTTCTCTACATCATATGCTAACTTGCTTGGGCTTCATAATAAAAATACGCTCCCAGAGAGTAAATTCATTTATTTAAAAATGTTTTGTTGGTTCACAAATAAAAGTAAATTGGAATATTTTTAAGTCTTTTGTGGAAATTGAAGTGTATTTACTTCTGGGACCTTGCTCGTAGATCACCAAATTTGGTTGCCTGTCAGTTGGCAAGTGGGCAGCAGAGAAGCAAACACACACACAAACACACTCACGCACACACACGCACACACAGAGACCCCCACTCGCTGGGAGCCAGACGAAATGGGCGCAAGGATAACTGCGTACAACATTGCGTATGCGCGTTGCCTCCGCAAATGTAAATGCGAATGCGAATGCGAAAAGGAAGGCGAATGGGAAGGGGAAGGGGAAGAGCAGTGGCAATGCGAATGGGAATGTCATGCGACTGTAGGGGAAGTGGGCGGACTGGGCTGCGCTCTGCTGGAATGCGAAGACTCGTACATTTATTGCAACATATAAAACATTATTTTGCATGGCCTCAAAAAAGAGCGGCGCATAACCGACGTACACAAAAAAAAAATTAGGAGGCGAAAAAAGAGCGACGAGGAGGAGCAGAAAGCGTAGCGCGCGTTGGAAAATTGCAGCAAGGAAATGCGACGTCGCTGATGTCGCTTACGATGTCCTGACTGCAGCTGCGATTCTCATACAAAGTGGCAAGCGAATAAATAAAAAATAATACAAATGTACGTTGCCTGCGACATTAGTGACTCTGCCGCTGCCGCTGCCCCTGTCGCTGTCGCTGCCTCTGCTGCTGCGGCATTTAAGGAAGTTACAGAGCGCCTGACGTCGCGTCGCGCCGAGTCGCCAAAGGACTAGCGGGTTTGCCGCCCTTCATTTCCATGCGCCATGCCAGGGCAAGGAAACGTGCCGTAAACTACAGCAGACAATCAAAATGCATTCATGTGCGCTTATTTAACGTTATTTATAATCAAACCAGCTGCAACTCTAGCCCGCCCGCCTCCCCTACGTCCCCACTCAGCGCAGCACCCACGCAGCCCTTGCCGGAGCTCTGGTGGTTCTTTTCATTTGCCCTTATTCATTCGCTTGCCATTCATTCAGCAACCAAATTCCATTCAATACGAATTGTTGCCAGCCATCAGTCGCACAGAATTTCCATTTGCCTCGCAATTTCCACGCCTTGACTTGCCACAGCTCGAGCATTCCTTGGTGGCTGCACGAGTCCCTGCACCCAGGACCGTCTCTACCAACAACAAATTCGTTGGCCTGAATGCCTAGCTATAATAATAATAATCATAATAATAATAATAACAACAACAATAACAAAAAAAGCACACGCTGCCTGCAGCGCTTTATACAAAGCTTCAAGTAACGACAACAATTTTCCATTTTAATAAGCATCATAAAAACGAATTCAAGAAATATTATGAGCCAATAGCCGGAGCTGATCTTTGTGCCTTAGCCTTAGCCGTGGCTTAAAGCCAGCTTACAAATCCCGAAGACGGTTACAATAAATACTTCAACAACAAAAACTTCTATTTTTAGTCAACAATTTAGGTATAAACTTTATGATTTTCTTGTTAAAGATTTAAATATGTAAATATAATTTAATAAATGAATATATATATTTAAAATAATATTAATAAATTATTAAATAATAACAATATATAATATAATAAATAATATTAAAAAATGATATAAGGAATCAAATAAAATATTTATATATATATGTAAAATATTAATATAAATATAAAATGTTTTAATTTTTAATGCTAAACATTCAAAAATCATTTTCCCCATTCGCTTGCCAAATAATAAAATAAAATATATAATATACATAATTTGATATTAAATATATATAATATATTAAGAAATTATTTTACAATAGCAATAATATAATGAATATAACATAAAATAATAATAAAGAATTAAATAAAATATATATTTTTAAATTTATCGTATAGTATAGTATATTTATAGTATAAATATAACTTTTTAATCAAAAACATCCTCAAATTATTTTCCTCATTTACTAGCATAATTTATTTATTTTTAATAGCTTTAATTTTAATTTTAATTATTTATTATTAATATACAAATAAAAGTCTTCCCACTCGAGCTGTGCTCAGGTTTCCCCGAATTTCCGTCAGCTATAAATTCTAATTCAAAACTGATTCCACTCTCAATAAGAGGTCTTAAGCGAAATAAAAGTAAGCATATGACATAAATTAATTAAGTGCAGGCATACCTTTAAAGCACAGTAGGCATGGTCCTTTCACTACTCTTTAATTTTAAGGCAAAAGTCTGCCGAAACGTGAACAGTTGAGTGAAATCTCTTAGCAGCAGCTGATGTTGTGCGTGCGCTGTCTGTGTGTGGGTGTTGGAGTTCCCATTTTTATTCTCATATACATATACACGGAATAAGCTTTACTTTTCTTATTTTATTTATGTTGCTTCGTTGTTTTGCTGGCAGTAAACAACTGAAGCCGAACACAACAAATTGTACAAATACGTACGCAGGCAAACAAATGCGTGTAGCATACTTTTTGGGGCCGCACCAATACAATGCCAATTGGCAGGAGTAGCGACCCAAAGGCATGCGTGCGTAAGAATGAATTGAAATAATTTTACAACATTTTCATGTTGTTTCATTTTGTGATTTGCCCTCGTGGTTTTCTTTCCCTTTTTATGCCATAATTTAAGCACGACTTGAACAAACAAAAATAATAATACCAAAATTACTGAAAGGTTTAAAGGGACTACGATTTGTGCATATACGAATTGATTCGCTCGAATAATTAATATTGAATTAAATGTGATAAAACGCCTTAACAATTGCCATCAAGTAATATTAAACAAAAAAATAATAATCAAATAAAAACATTTATAATGCAGCTCTCTAATTTAATTTACAGCTTCCTGTGAAATTAATGCTTGAATTTGAATAAATAATAAATCGTATCGCTGATAATTCATATATATATAATTATGTATATGTATTATATACACATATATCCTCTTTTTTTATTGAATACAAACTATTTACATATCCCGCATTTAATTGACGTTTTTTTAATTTTTATAATTTGTTCGTTAAACAATGCAAATGTTGATTTAATTTCATATTGATTTGTGTAAATTAATTCTGACTTATTTGCATTAAATTAAATTATAGAAAAAACTGAAAAATGGTGATAATATTCAATGAAATATTTATTTAAAGTATAAAGCAAGTAAAATTTTATTTAACAACATTTTAAGCCTCTTAAAGATTTATTAGGTTTATTTTTTAATGATTTGGAATTTTATTAAAACTGAAATAAGAGTATAAAATTCTTAAACTTATTTAATTGTTTTATTTAAAACATTCCCACAAGTGAAGTGATGCGAGAGAAATGGAATGAGATCTAGACATAGAATAAAGTTAAGTATGAGAAAACAATTTTTTTAACTTAATTTACATTTTTTATAAACTTGAATTTTGTATTTCTTATATTGGAAGAGGAAAAACCAGGGCATTTAAGCAAATGAATATTACATTATTTACATTATTAAAATCATTCTAAATGCAAGGAAGTTGTAAAAATATTCATTTATCTAACTTAAATATATTTTAAAAAAATATATATATATTTATACTATTTTAGTATCTTTTATCTTCCGTGCCCTAATTAGAATTTCAAAAGATATCAAAATCAAAACTAAAACAAATCAAATTGTATTGCACAAGCCTTAAAACCCGTTAGAGGTTACACCCGCCTAGCTTATGCTAAACAGAAGCAAAACAAAGTGGATATTAATTCCAATGAATGATTAAAATGCAGATGGCTTTAGCACCAATCAGGCACTTGGGCTCTTCCGCAATAGGGCCTAGATCCAAGCACTGCCGTAATAACAAGTGTGTGTCGCAAAATGTAAAGTTCAAGCGATGGCCACATTGGCCACGCCCCCTGGGCACCTGGTGAGCGGTAACAAGCGTTTTATAAATGCCCACAACAATGGCAAGGACACAGGGACTAGTCTGGTCTGGTCTGGTCTGGTCTGCTGGTTAAGCTCAAAGTTCAAAGCAAATTGTGGCGGAAGGCAAGAATCAACATTATCATTAGCAAGAGGGAGGACGACGATATTGCTACGGCAGTCAGCCAGCCAGCCAGCCAGCCAGCCAGCCAGCCAGCCAGCTATAGGATACTCATTTCAACGAATGCAGACGCCAAATGAAAGGTTCACAATACACAAACACACAGTGGCATTTTCTCTGTGTGTGTGTGTGTGTTTGGGTATTGGTTATATAGAACTTTTCGACTGGGGCTGGGCAGAGGGCGACTTGACAACGCACAGCATTCGCATGTCGCCTGCTGCATATTAATGAAGTGGCTGCCACAGCCGCTGCCGCAGTCAGGCAGGATGTTAGGCGGGCGCTGCTCGAAGCACTCATCAATTTCTCAATATTACAAATTTCGTTGGCACGAAAGAAACGAAAAAAAAAAAAAACAACAAGAGCAGCAACAACAACAACAAAATCTGCATATGAACCGCAGGGCCACCAAATTCGGCAGATAAATACTATATATATATATTATCGTATAAGGCATATAAATAATATATAAATAAACACACATACACACACACATATTTATATACTTTAGACGTATATTAAAGTGCGTGTGTTTTTGTATTTGCGGGCCACAATTTATGGGCCTTAATGCTTACCAGAATTATGCAAAGCGTTTAACATGCTCAACCGCCTAGACGCTCAGTGGCTTTAAGCTCCAACACTTTACTTTACTTGTGCTTCTTTTTATTTGTGTTTGTTGCTCTTGTTTCTTTGCAGTTTTGTTTTGTTTTTGATTTTCTTTTTTCTTTTTCTTTATATTTTGTTGCTGCTGTTGTTTGCACTTCACTTGTAATTCACATAATTTTCTTGCTTTGGTGCACACACACGATAACAAAGTCGCGTAATTGTTGTCGCTGTTGGCGCCTTGGGGGCAATGGCAGCCACGGCGTATACGTAACGTAATTTGCTCGTCTGCGTGCGAGCGCCTGTATTCCTGTGTGCGTGTGTGCGTGCGTATGTGTACGTCAGCGTAGGCGAGTTTACTCGAGAACGAATGCAACACGTGTGGTTGTTGAAAAGCCGCGCGATTGGCACACAACTCATCCGGCCGACGCACGAAGTTGAACTAAAACTGAAACTGAAACTGGCGACAAATGCGAGACACGACTCGCCGCACAGTGGGACGAATGTCCCAAACGACACGAGGACCGCACGAGGCGAACGAGCGGGCGCTCAGGCGAGCTCAGTTCGAGTGCCAGCACAACAGAGAGCAGAGCATTTTCCTCTTGTTTTTCCGTCTGAGACAGAGGCGGCTGGCGGCTGCTGCATTAGATAAGAGGAAAGCGAGGACAGAGCAAGCGAACGGTTGCAACTGAACAGGACCAGAGCAAGGCACTCAATTATTTATGAATTATTGCTTCAACTAGAAACTCAATTAATTATTCCATCAGGCTCAGTCATTGGCCTTCATTAGCATTTTACCACTAGTTTGACCCATTACGGGAAGGACAAGTGGAGCGAGTCTGCCTCGAAGAGAGAGAGACTCTCTTTCATTCGCCGTGCGAAATGAGTGTTCAGGAATATTGGGAATTTCGTGGCTCGCTTCGTCAGCTGTTCCGTTAGGCTGTTGACTTGAGTCCTTCTGCGTTGCTGGAGGTCAGGCATGTTTTCAAGTGCTTTGTTATTGTTATTAGTGTTTACAATGGCAACCGAAGGGGGCATGCAGCTTAATGGCCAGTCTTTTGTGTGGGCTGCATTAATAGTCCTCAACGATTCGGTTTTGCAACACTGTAATCCTGTTTATCATAATTTGAATAATACCTGTTTGGTTGCGTATATTGAATAGCTTTAATAGATGCACCGGTTCTGCTTAGAATATTCACATCATAATTAGTTCAATTAGACTCATTTTCTGCAATGTTGTCTAATGAAGTAGTTTATAGGAGTATTGCAAGTTTATGGAAAGAGAAGAGAGCGACTGCATAATACTAATACTATTTATAAATAATATTGATTCTACTCAATCCAATTGATCTACACAAAGCAAGTATATAAATATAAATAATACATATACCGGAAGCTGACTATATAATTTAATTTTAAAATTGAACTCTTTTCTTTTATAGAACATGTCAAAAATGAAAAAAGGCATTTGGAAAATCGTAATACTAAAATAATATTAGCTAAAAGTTTATATCAGTCCTTTATTTCATTAAATAAATGTTTTAATAAATAATATCAATACATACTAGTTTCATAGTTTCTTTCTGTTTAATGCCCAATTTAAGTTGCAGCGCCACAAGCAGGGCACATCAAGCAGTCGAAAGCAGTGCAATCCTGTTCAGTCAGTCAAACTACCATGCAAAGCAGTGTAAGCTCAACAGAAGCACTAACGCAACAAGTTCATAAACCAATTGGAAAGCTAAACATTTAACTTTAAGATACTAAAAGCTTTTTGGTATTTTGCATTTAGGCACAGAGCTGTTCGTGTACTTGACAACACCGTACGACCTCCAAACAACCTTTTGACGTTTCGCTTGCCTACGCTCGGCTGTCTTTTACTTATTTCGCTTTGGAATTTCTCGCGGCCCGAAAATAAAAGCGTCGCCAACTCAACTCCAGTGCAGCAGCAGCAGCAGAGCCAGCCGGTAGCCAAGCAGCAGAGAGCGGAGCAAAGCAACCGAAAACACCCACACAGTTTCTTTTTCCAGATCGGTGAGTGTGTGTCTGTGCCAACGTGTGTGACAAAATAAAATAATAAATATAAATTAAATAAGAGCAATTGAGAAAAATAAGTGCAGTTCGTAATCTGGTTATATCAGTGCAAAACTTTTTCGTTCTCAACCCAAGTTGGTTTCGTAATCGTTGATTGCAGTTTCATTAAGCTGAAAAAAAATTTACAAAAAGCTCTCGGAGTTTGCCTGCGTGTGTGTATGTGTGTGTGCTGTTTGTTAGACTGGAATTTTTTCTAATTAGAATGTATTTCTCATCAGCTATGAGTTATATTCATTTTATGGTTTCCTCTTGAACTTTCTACTGTTTCCATTTGCTTATCGCAGCAAACGACGCGTCGTTGACCTATGCAACTGAATGCTGATAAGAAACATGAGTACGCACTCAGTTATCGTATAACGGTGCTAGTTATTGCATTGCCGGTCTAACTGGCTGGGCCCGTCACCCCCACCCCCCGTCTAACTAGATTTCTACTCTGTGGTTCGTTCGCACGTTGGCAACGCTTCAACTGCAAGTTGCTTTATAAATAGCTGACACAAGTCTTATGTGCACGAATACACACACAGGCATGCATATACATATGTATGTAAATTAGGCGATCATGTATTATTGTCTCCTTGCGTCTCTTCATTAGTTTTCGTTTAGTTTTCAATTAAATATTGTCATTGCTGCTTGTTTATTGACATCGTCAATTGACATTTGCCTTTCGAGTGTGAGAAACCTTTCATTCTGCCACATGATAACAATTAAGAGATTAGTGGGACGGAGAGAGATGAAGAAGGGGAAAGGAATAATTGTTCTATTCTTCAGCAATAAAGAAAGAGAGAGAGAGAGAGAGAGAGAAGAGTATTTTAAGAAGAGTATATGAAGCGTGTAGGTAATTATTAAAAAATCACACTAGCTACCCTTAAATTTAAATGCGCAAAAACCAGTTTGTGAATGAAAGCTATTTCGATTTTTGTTGTTTTATACGTTATCTACAAAATAAAAATATACTAAAATATACGCATATCATTTACAATTCAACTTAGCTTAGTTGTATTTTTCTTACCACAGCTGATTCTATTCATTCACAATATAACACCCTTACAACTCTGGATCTTTATCTTTCGTTTTCACTACTACCGGCTCTCTCTCTCTCTCTCTCTGTTCTTATCCCCCTCTTACTCACTCCCAGCTGTACCGCGCCCTTTGTACCAACAGTTCTTTCTGGAGCTGCTGACGCAGTTCGTATTTCTGTTCTTTTGACCTATTGCTACTTGTCTGGGAGGCCGGACCTGTTATTGATACCCCGCTGCACACACGAGCCGCTCCAACAACATCCTGAACCAGTCTGGATGGGCGATAACAAAGCCACAGCGCATATTCTCTATATGAAATGTGGCGGGGGGCTCGTTTGGTTGTTTTTATTTTATAGTCGAAGGTTAAATATTAAAACCGCCTGACAACAGCGCAAGCAGCAGACGATGTCGATGCTTCCAAAGTTTCCATAATTTTCGAAAAATTTCATTTGTATTTTTGTTTTCGTCGTTTTATCAACTTGTTTTTTTTTTTTTTTTTTATTCGATGCTATTGCCTTTATGTGATATGTGTGCACATGTGTCTATTTTATTTTTATAAATACACACACACACATACACATGCGCATACATTTATTTGTGTCTTTTTCTGTTTCTGATGTTTTTGCATCTCACTTATCTTGTATTGCTGCTTATCACTAGTCTCTTATTTGTCTCTTATTGTCTTTGCATTCAGTTTTCAATCGATTGTCGTTTAGCGTAGGTGTGTGAAAAAAGTGAATCAGCTTTCCGAGCCATCAAAACGGACCTTTATAGCTGTATATATATAGTCAATTGTGTCAAGTGTAACTCCTAAATTAGCTCATATATTTTCAAGTCAACAAATGTTATACTGCACCTTATTGCAGTATCTTATCAGATTGTGAACTTACCTACATAACTATATACTTTGTATATATATACATTATATACCGTTTTTTTTTTTTGCGGTAGTGCGTGCTTTTCAATGTCAAACAAGTCAAGCATCATAGGAACTTTTTTTGTATCTAAAACTTTTTCTTTTACTATTCCATTCTCTCTCTCTCGCTCTCTCTACTTTATTCCCTCTCTCTCTTTCGCTCTCTCTCTCTCTCTCCCTTTGTCACACGCGCTTTACGATTGTTTAACCGTTTCGTAAGCAACACGTCACAAATTCGCTCCGGCAACATGTTGCCTCTGACCTTGTTCAATGTCAAAGTTTTTAAGCATGCGCCGCACACGTCACGCAGCGAAAGTGAAAGTGAACGTCACAGTCCTCGCATATACAACACGACCCGCTGCTCTCCCTACCAGTCGAACCTCTTCCCTTTCCCCTGGCCGCCTCACCACTCTCGCTTACTTCCCTACTCATTCGCCTATGAAATGAGTCTTACATTTGCCCTCTCTGAATTGCCGCGCTCAGCGCTCCGATTACATCAGACGAGGCTGCAGTTCAGTTCGCAGTCGGGTTTCGGCTCAGTTGCTCAGAAAGCATTGTCGAGGTTGGTTGATTTGTCCAGAAAAAATATAAAAAATAAATAAAAATGTGCCAAAAAAAAACTCATAAATTAAATAAAGAACTGTGCGATTAGTGACTAATGCTAAGTAATTAGTAAAGCGTGCTTCAGTCGGCTAGCTATTGTTGTGAAACTATGAAATATTGCTAAACTTTTAAGCAATCTTGAATTCACTGATTATATTTATATGCGTGGCTTAATCTGTATATAGAGAGTATATCTGTCAATTAAATTGCTCACATATATTTCATTTATAAACTGCTTATCAAGTGATTTTAAATACAAACTTTATCAAAAGCTTCTACTGCCTTTGCAACATTATTGCTTGGGCATAAGCAACATTTTATATATGCTATATACATGTGTATGCGTACTTTGGTTTACTGAATAGGGGCTGAAGCACGAAGTGGCATTCATAGAAGTGAATATAATTCATAATTTATACTATATATCCTATAGCTATAACTGTTTCCCTGTCTACTAGTTGCTTAGCAACATTCCTGCTATCTCTGCTCTGCAACATTGTCGGCAGTAAAGTTGCTTGGCAACATTGTTGCTAGCGCTCTTCAACGCATTTTGTGTATATGCGTGTGAAATGTTGCCAGCTGAGCAAACAGCTGCGAGCGTGCGCTCACGCTCTTCTCTGTACGGAAAGAGATGGTGCATGAGAGAGCGAGAGAGAGCGTAGTAGTAGTTATCGAAAACAGCTGTTCATTTGCAAAGCTTTCAAAACCTTAAAGCCCCTTTGATAGATAGTTATGTATTTTATATATATAAACATATAGAGTATTCGGACAGATATCGCATTTTTGTATTACAAAACTAACATTCTGGTTAAGCCGCCAAAAATTTATGCACACATAGATCAAAGATCGCGAAACATTGTCTAAATTCCAAGTATAGGGGGAGAACGCGCTTATTTTTTGTCAATCTAAATCAAAATGCATATTTACACTTATCGACTGTTGCAATCAGTCTATTGCATGAAATTACCGATCCGCAACAAATCGCAAAATCAAACTCAAAATGGATCATTTCAGAACTTTACGCAAGTATCAAAGATGACCACCTACTTCAACTATCCCAGCAAGGAGCTGCAGGATGAGCTCAGGTCGATCGCCCAGAAGATTGTTGCCCCCGGCAAGGGTATCCTGGCCGCCGATGAGTCCGTCTCGACCATGGGCAAGCGCCTAAAGGATATCGGCGTTGAGAACACCGACGAGAACCGTCGCGCCTACCGCCAGCTTCTGTTCACCACTGACGATAAGTTGGCCGAGAACATCTCGGGCGTCATCTTGTTCGACGAGACTGTGTACCAGAAGGCCGATGACGGCACTCCCTTCGTCCAGCTGTTGAAGAAGAAGGGCATCATTCCCGGCATCAAGGTCGACACTGGTGTTGTCAACCTGATGGGCTCTGAGGACGAGACGACCACCCAGGGTCTTGATGATCTGGCCAAGCGTTGCGCCAAGTACAAGAAGGAGGGATGCGACTTCGCCAAGTGGCGTTGCGTCCTCAAGATTGGCAAGAACACCCCATCCTACCAGGCCATCCTGGAGAATGCCAACGTGCTGGCCCGCTATGCCTCCATCTGCCAGTCGGAGCGCATTGTCCCCATCGTGGAGCCCGAGGTGCTGCCCGATGGTGATCACGATCTGGATCGCGCCCAGAAGGTCACTGAGACCGTTCTGGCTGCCGTCTACAAGGCCCTGAACGACCACCACGTCTACCTGGAGGGCACACTCCTCAAGCCCAACATGGTCACCGCTGGCCAGGGCGCCAAGAAGAACACACCCGAGGAGATTGCCCTGGCTACAGTCACGGCCCTCAGCCGCACTGTGCCCGCCGCTGTTCCCGGTAAGGAAGTCGAGATGTAAATTCCTAATCTTTGGCTAACCGTTTCTTTGCTGTGCACAGGCATCACCTTCCTGTCGGGCGGTCAGTCCGAGGAGGAGGCCTCTGTCAACTTGAGCGCCATCAACAATGCCCCAGCGCCCCGTCCCTGGAAGCTGACCTTCTCGTACGGTCGTGCCCTGCAGGCCTCTGTCCTGCGCGCCTGGGGTGGCAAGAAGGAAAACATTGCCGCTGGCCAGCAAGAACTCATCAACCGCGCCAAGGTGAGTGCCAAGTGTTATGGCTAAATGGTGTCTGGGCTTAGCTTTAGTTTGGGTCCGTGAACACATGGGGGCTGTAGGGTGCTAGCAGAAAAGATTCATTAACCCCCATCATTTAATAACCGCCATCAACCCATCGATCCTCACTTAGGCTAACGGAAATGCCACATACGGCTGTTATAAGGCTGGCTCTGTTAAGGGAGCCGCTGGAGATGAAGGGCTTCATATAGATGATCATGCGTACTAAATGTTTTCGGCTGGGCAAGACAATTCTCATTGGGACTAGTGGATTAGTGTAACCCAAGAATCCTATAACTTAGACGATCGAAAAGTCCTATCAAGCGTACGCCTTACCAAGTGTGAAGTGCCAAACTGTAATTTGTGATCGTAGAGATATTGCTTTTCATGAGCATTTTCTAATTTTTCGTAATATTTTTCAACATCTACCCGGAAAAATGATCTATTTGGAAAAATGAAATGAAATTAAATATTTTAGTACTGAATAACCTTTCTCGCACTTTTTATTTATTATTACTAACCTATCCCAAGCTAACCAAACCTTATGCATGATGCATAATAATCAAATTATTAATTTGCTAAAATCATTTCTACTAAATTAATTTATTAATAAATCAGTGTCTCGTATCATCCTTAAACTAATTTCCTTATTTATTAATCTATATACATATTCATTTTTCATTTTAATAAAATTTGCAATCATCTAAAACTCTTTTTCATATTTCATTAATTAATTTTATGCTCGTTGCACTTTGCTTCTTTGTTTGGAAATCGTTTTGCACGCTCTTTTTTCAATTAATCCCTAAACCGTTTTCCGCTCTCCCTCTTCTGTTTCTGTTTATCCTCGCAATCCTCAGGCCAATGCACTCGCCTGCCAAGGCAAATACGTGGCTGGTTCGATTCCCTCATTCGCGGCATCTACCAGCTTGTTTGTTGCCCAGCACAAGTACTAAACACAAAGCAAATCAAAACAAAGCAAAGCAAATGCATCTCCTAACGGCTGCAATCAGAATCCAATTGGCTTAACTGTGCTGAGTCCAAACCCGAACACATTCCTCACAGATCTGCGCCACAAAGACCATGGAGTTGCACACTTTTATACCTTATATACCTACAACTATACCTAGCACTTTAATATTAATAAAAGACAAACTTTAGAAATTACTTATAATTTCATTTTTTAAATATGAAACTTCTTGAGTCAAAAAAACAAGGAATTCGAATAAATTTATATTAAAAAAAATGTATAAAAAACGAAATCAGTTTTAATTTTAATTATTATTTGAAAAGTTAGATGAGCTATTTTATTTTATTTTTCTTTTTTATATTATTATTATTTTTATTTAATTTGTACTATAAATATCCGAATTATAAACATTAGTGCTCTGTTTAGTCATTATTTATATATATATATTTTTTTATAAAAATACGCTTTATTTTCCAACTTTTACATTGAAACTTTTGTAGTGACTCTCCAACTGTAAATTTTTATTTTATTGATACAGAATTTCCTATCTCTTCAAATTTATATCGCTAGCTTTTATGTATGTATGTATGTATTAGCTAAGTTCTTATATTAATGCTCAAGACTTGCTGACTTGCCTGTGCTTGTCAAACTGTACTGTTAACTACGCCTTCCGTAACCATTTATTATTTTAACAAAGCAAATTGCAGTTAGGCTATTCTAGAATCAACTTTCAAACACACACACACATACTCAGACATCTCAGATGGCGAGGCTTTCACAAAATTATAGGAATAACGTTCCCGATTAGGACCTGGTAGGCGCAATAATAAGAGGCGGAACCTTTTTGTCCCTTTGGGCCTGGCACAGTTTGCAGCGCAATTAACCGCAATCGAATAAACTTTTTACTTTAAAAGCCTTGAAAATTGAAATTACAAAAAAGCAACCAACGTGTGTGTGTGTGTGTGTGTGTGGGTGTCTAGATTGAGGTCTATGCGAAAAGTTTGGCAAATAGCCCCTGGAAAGGCTGGGCCTCAACTTTCTTCTGCTCAGGTTACGGTTCAGTGAGCAGTGCCAAAAATCGCAGCGAAAGTTGAAAGTTGAGGGTTTAGGCTGCGCATTTAGTTCGGGTCCAGGGTATATTGAAACTTGAAAAGTATTATTTTAATGGCAAATTAATTAACATTTTCTCCCATCCTGTTTTTCTCTCTCCCTCTCTTCCGTTCTCTGTCTAATTTTCAGGCTAACGGCGATGCCTCTTTGGGCAAATACGTTGCTGGCAGCGCTGGTTCCGGTTCCGGTTCCCTGTTCATTGCCAACCACGCCTACTAAGGCGGGCAGCAGCAGATCATAAAAACGCGAATTGCTGAGAAAAAGGAATTTACGTTTCTCTTTTTCGGTAATTTTCATTATTTATTATCTAAGTTACCAAGCAAGCAAAACGCTAAAAAGAAGCAAACAAAAAAAAATGTTTAAAAAAATTAACAGAAAAATGTTTTAAAAAATGGAATAATTATGTTTATTGAGACGCAAATTTACTTTTAGTTCTAAGCACAAAACAAAAGCAAGAGAAACCCAATTTGTTGAAGTTATTCAAATTATATATACATACTTATATATATGTATATAAATATATTCATATACATTTTTAAGAAGATTATAAATATTATGTAACGTTTCAATGTTCGAAATCTACTTGCAACAATTAGAAGCATGTCGTAAATCGAAATCGCAAGTGAAGCACACCAACATCAGCAAACAACATCAAAGATTTTTAGCATTGAAATTAACACGAGTTTATTATGTTTTTACTTATTCATTAATATTTTGCAATGTTTGTATACAAAAGAAAAAGAACAAAAAAATCGCAATGAGAAACGTGATTTTTCATAATTATTATTATTACACTTTATATTTATGATTATGATTGTAATTATTAAGTGAACAAAATGACGCAAATAAACAAACACAATCGAAATAAAAAAAAAAGAAAATCGAAACCAAAAACTAACCAAAAAAAAAATTAAAGAAAACAATAATATGACATATAATTTATATTGGCCCAGAACAAGCCGATATACATATACACACATATACGCTATGAAAGAATAATGTTATTGCTATAGAATGGCTGAAATGATTAATTGACAATTAACAGAGAACACGATTAGCATGTTGATTTCCCAACTGTAGTTGAAAATTGTTGCTAAACTGTACACTGTGCATAGGGGCACTGGAATTTGCAGTCTATTCATAACTGTTATAGTTACTAAATATATAGAGTTTATCGCTTGATGCAACCGTTGAGTTCAAGAGCAACCCGAGCATTCAGGCGAGCCACAACTAACCCCATATTTATCAATTCTATTCTCAATATATATTTGGAAAAATATATATATGTTTATGATTCGTTTATTATTATGTGTTACTTCAAATTTCTTCTATCTATCAATATTGATATATTTATATATATATGTGTATTTCTGCATATCGTTGTTAATCGCAAACATTTTAGATGCAACAAAGAGCATATAACCCTACATTTATAAGCAAACAAATATTAGTTGAAGGAAATAATGGCAAAGTGGTTAAAATCTCATTTTTATTATTTTCTCGAGTCCGGAAAGCGAAACATACATCTTGTTAGAACAGCAATAAGAACCAACAATCAGAACAACAACAACAACAACAGCAACAGCATGTTTCACTTCATTAATTTATGGCTGAAATATAGAAAATTCGACAACAAAGATTATACAATAAAAACAAATTAAATGTATCTAAGGCGGTTGAACGATCATCATTCAATAAAAACTAAACCTTATACAAAAGAGCAAAAATACCAACAATGTGTTTTGATTGACTAAGGCTACAAATATTTATGTTGCATACGGCAAGGCGAAGGTTATGTGCCCTACAGAACAGTTTGACAAGCACTGCGCCCAATGTGAAACTTTAGGTGCATAAATAAAGTATTGATAAATGAGCTTGTATTAATATTTTTATTGTCTTTAAGCTTACCTCTCTAATTGATTTTTTTTTTTTTTTTTTAAAATATACTTAGTGATTGTATTTTTTATATTATACGAGACAAAATAACAAAGTGCTTATATAACTTGTCAAACTGTTATCCATGTAACTTTCGCCTGCCTAAATTCTTCAAAATTTAGCAAAAAATAAGTATGAAAAAGTATTCATTTGGCAATTAAAATGTAATATTTTATCTATTTATTTGCCTATTTGAAAGTTTGAGTTTATGAAATTTAAAAGCGAGGCGCGTGTTTTTATTAGAATTTGTGTTTACAAAAGAACGCTCTTAGACATAAATCTAGACATTTTCTTTAGCAGCACACATATTAATATCTTTTGCACTTATGCATAATTCAGTAAAAATATTCTGATTTGATGTGGAAAATTGTATCAACTTTAAGCTGAAAAGATTATTGTTGTTAGGTACATAATATATTCATTTGCTCTCAAGTAAAATAAACAAAAATTGTAAAAAATACAGTAATTGTATAAGGCAGTCTGAGAGCTAAAATAACCTGTCTATAAATTCATAAACCTAAGTTAAATTATATTTATGTATACAATTGTATACATGTATATGCATATAATTGCTGCAAAAGTTAGTTAATGTGAGACTCAGCTCACAGATATTTTATACAGATAGTTTCCAAACTTCAACCATTTCCTTTACAGTAACATAATAACTTGATATTACTGTTTTGTAGCAGTTCGATTAATATCAAATTTTTTTATGTTTTACTACTGTGTTTTCGATGAGCTTCAAATTAAGTGCTATTGATGATGCTGTAACTACCATTGAGTTGAAACAATCGCTCTCTCATTGTTTATCATTCACTTACAAACTTACTTCAAAGTGTGCTGAAGCAAAAGTTTGTGCTTGAGTGCAAATGCTATTTCATTGGATACTAAGAGCAAATAGTTGCGTCGAGATCCGAAATAAATTCACTTCACTCTTGATGGCAATCATAAATAAGTTCTCTTCTTACACAAGTTCTATGCAATTGGTGTGGCGCTTATTTCCTGCTCTTCTTCTTCCTTATGTTGCTTTGTTTTCTGTGCAACAAGTTCGACTTCCTTCAATCAGATTGAAATTTAATTTCGATGAAATGTTTGCTCTTTGGGGTAGGCAATACGCCCTATCTGCGTATCTGCTCTTTTATCACAATTATTCACGCCGACAAGATAGCTGGGCAGCAGTGCTACATACAGCGAGCTGCCTTGGCGTGTGCCGACTATCAATGTACTTGAGCTACGGGGCACAAGTTCAAGTCTGGGGCTCAAACAACGCATGCATTTCAATAATCAAACGTAATCAAAACGTAGACGCGTTGCCCAGTTCTGCTTTTTGGAGCGCGTCTTCTGCAGTTTTCGTTTACAATTTCCTTCATTGCGAATGCAAATGTAAACAGACAAAAGGCAACGTAATCTGGCCAATGAATCGCAATTCAATGTTTTTTGCCAGTTGTTGCGGCCATGTCTGCATCTGCATTGAGTGCAAAGTTCCCTTAATCAGAATCAAATAAAATGCACAATGACACGGCCGCAGCGTGTGCGAAAGAGATAGCACGAGACCAAAAGCCAACACAGACAGAGAGGGCAACACACGGCAACAGACAGGGCGACGACAATCAGTGCCGCGACTAAAGCTGATCCAATGCTATCGCCCATATTTGACCACTCGACACGCTGAATTTAATTGTCTTGTTCTTGCACACTTCCTCAATGGGGTAAGGCAATTGGGAAGCCACACATGTAACGCCCGCATGGACTGTAAGGACTTTCGCTCACCCCTAAGTTAAGCGAGCTTGGCATGGATTTTATTATTGGAGTAGTAAATAAATGGAATATAACTCTCAATATATCTACAGCAATATATCCACATACATATGTTCAATATCTTTCAATAATTTTCAATTTCTCAAGTAAGTACAAAAATATATTCATATATAGTTAAGACCAATTTTAATGACTGTGAAATCATAATAAAATATTGTATATATTTAATATTTATTAAAAAATAATTTAAATATATTTTACGATCAAGTGAAGCGTATTTGCTCTTCGCCCCGCTCAATTTATTTTATTTAATTTATTTTGGAAATTTTTTTTCATTCGTTTTTTGGTTGTTTATTGTTGTTGAGGCTTGCTTTTCGGTTCTGTTTGGTAGCTCCTTGATTAACCGCATTCAAGAGAGTTTTTCAATGTTTATTGCAGGAGGCATCATAAATTATTGAAATGATTTTATGAGCCATTGTAATCCAACTCAATTCGAGCAATTTGTCTTGCAAATTGTTGTTAAACTCATCCAGGTCAATGCATCCGGATAAATAAAACTGCAACATTTAAAGGCCATGAGAACTTAATTTTCGAGGTATAGACTCTGTATAATTTAAACAAATAATCGCTTAAATAATATGAACACATTTTAGTAAATACTTAAGTTTCCTTTTCAAGTTTTCCATATCCCAACTTCACACTCTGTCCGTCTTTCACGGCCTTCAAAGCAAATACATATCAAAAATTGGAATTCAAGTTCTGTGCATATAATATGAAGCACTCGTTTTTGACTTACCAGCACCACATCGCACCACAATATTAGCAGCTTGCCACCTGCACAGGTGGCATGGCAAATGGCAAATGGAATACTTTTCGTACGGCCAGTGCAATCGCACAATATTATTTAATTTATTTTGGAAATTTTTTTTCATTCGTTTTTTGGTTGTTTATTGTTGTTGAGGCTTGCTTTTCGGTTCTGTTTGGTAGCTCCTTGATTAACCGCATTCAAGAGAGTTTTTCAATGTTTATTGCAGGAGGCATCATAAATTATTGAAATGATTTTATGAGCCATTGTAATCCAACTCAATTCGAGCAATTTGTCTTGCAAATTGTTGTTAAACTCATCCAGGTCAATGCATCCGGATAAATAAAACTGCAACATTTAAAGGCCATGAGAACTTAATTTTCGAGGTATAGACTCTGTATAATTTAAACAAATAATCGCTTAAATAATATGAACACATTTTAGTAAATACTTAAGTTTCCTTTTCAAGTTTTCCATATCCCAACTTCACACTCTGTCCGTCTTTCACGGCCTTCAAAGCAAATACATATCAAAAATTGGAATTCAAGTTCTGTGCATATAATATGAAGCACTCGTTTTTGACTTACCAGCACCACATCGCACCACAATATTAGCAGCTTGCCACCTGCACAGGTGGCATGGCAAATGGCAAATGGAATACTTTTCGTACGGCCAGTGCAATCGCACAATACCACAAAGCGGACTATTTGAATGCTGTCACCGTATGCTGGTAGACTACATACGGAAATGTCAACAATTCCGTTGGCAATGCTATCAGCTGTTCGTGCCAGACAGACAGCCAAACCCGAGCATTTGGTGCTGCAGCACAAAGATTGTTCACAAAGTAG